GGTTCAGCGGATGGATGGCCAGAAGCCTTCCCATGCCGTAACTGCACTGCCAGAACAGTGGCCCTCAAGTTTGTTAAGGAGATCATTCCTCGCTTTGGACTCGCCCTGTGGATGGAATCTGACAACGGGACACACTTCATGCCAAAAATCATTCAAAGCATCTCACCTGCCTTACAGATCCCCTGGAAACTCCATACGCCCTGGAGACCGCAAGCCAGTGGGGTAGTGGAGCGTACCAATCAGACTCTTAAATGACATCTCTCAAAAGTGTGCCAAGAAGCCTCACTGCGATGGCCTGATGCTTTGCCCCTCGTCCTACTCCGTATCCGCGTTCTCCCAAAGGGTAGATTAGGGCTCAGTCCCTTTGAAATTATGTGTGGAAGGGCATGGCCTATGAATGGCATCCCGGTTCTGTCAGGGTAATGGTTTTTTGTCACAGTATATGTGTTCCCTGTCTGCTGTTCTCTTGTCTCTTCACAGGTATACCAAGGATTCCCAGCCTCTCCCCTTGGACACTCCCGTCCACTCCTTACAGCCCGGTGACTCTGTGCTTGTTCGCACCTGGAAAGACGAGCCTCTCCAGGAAAAGTGGAAAGGACCCTATACCGTCCTGCTGATCTCCCATACAGTGGCAAAGATCGAGGGACACAAGAACTGGATCCATCACTCTCATCTGAAGGCAGTACCCGCCCCCTTGTCCGCAGAACAGTGGACCGTCCAAACTGCTGACTCCTCATCCAGTGACTATCTCAGGCTAAAGCTACTGTTTAAAAGACACAAATAGCGGGCACCTTAATGCTAAAATGGGCCCACCCAGGTACTGGAGACCCTGGGTTGGGAAGACTCTGGTGATAATTAATTGGGTAACATTGTTATTCTCTGTATTGGTATTTCCAAACTGTGCATATTGGGAGCATAACTCTTTTGTTTCGCTTGCGCACCATGTTGCTACTTTAACAAACCAGACTGATTGCTGGGTTTGTGCTCCAACTCCACTGTCCCCCAAAATGGGAATGCCCCTTGACATGCTGCCCCTGACCCTACCAGAAATAGCCACCACCAAAGAGCAGGAAAGAACGGATTCACCGTTCTGGAATAAGACCTCTTTACAGCAAGCCACTTATCAGGACCAGGAGTATTCAGTTGCAGTATTCAGTGAGGGAGTGCTATGTTTTACCCGAAACCAATCTGATCACTATGGGCGTCCTGTGGGAAAAAGCTCCTGTGTTATTACACAGTGGGCTGATGGGTATTGGATAAAGACCAACAGGGGAGGCCAACAGTGTGGGTGTAATGGTTCCTCCCCTTTTAGGGAAACTCTTACAAATAATCTTACCACAGAAGAGGGGTTTGGAAATGTAACTTGCCGTCCAGTTAACATCTCCAACGTAGCAAGCCAATGGTGGGTTTGTAGTGGTCTCTATGGCGAGTGTAATTTGAACAGCACAATTAGAAACGCCCCCACTTGTACCCAATCAAAAAAATAAGATGCCCCCTTAGGGGCATATAAATTGTTTAAAAAAGTAGCCAAAGCAGCCTTAAATATCCCAGGAATCCCCTTAAGAAACAGTCCTTACTGGGCCCTACAGGGTCACTATTTTGTATGTGGCCGAAAGGCTTACAAGGTGCTGCCAGCCAACTGGACAGGTAGCTGTTATATAGCTCATGGAGTTCCTCATCTTTCCATAACTGCCACACTGCCCAAAGGAAAGATTAGAAATGCCCGAGACACCTCTGTTGAGTCACAAGAAAAGACCCTGCGGCGACTGACTAAGGCATTGGAGGGCAATATGAAGAATCCCCTCACAACCGAGAAGCTTGTAGGGTGCTCTGTACTGGGAATAGCGCCACTAGTTTCTGGACCAGCCATGGCATGCATAGGCCACTATACTATAAGGCTGCAAATGGTACTTGAGAAAGTGGCCTTAGAGTTAGAGGACTCGGTTAGTGATTTAGGGTCAGCAGTAAAAACATTAAATAAAGAGGTACAGCAGCTCAGGATGTTTTCCCTCCAAAACAGGCTGGCTTTGGACTATCTCTTGGCATCCCAAGGAGGGGTTTGTGCCCTCGTTGGGCCCCGATGTTGTGTATATGTAAATGAGAGCAGTTATGAGATCTATGAAAAGGTGGTACAGGCTGAGGCCCATGCCCGAGCCGGAGCACAGGTTGCCTATATTGCCCCAGAGAACGATTGGTTGCAAACCTTGTTTTCAGGCTGGGGTTTGTCGTCTTGGCTTGGTGGTTTATTTAGCCTGCTATTGAAAATTCTCTTTCCTGTATTGCTTGTATTATTGATATTATGCTGTACAGTATCATGTGTTAGGGCCCTTTTGCAAAAGTTAATAAGTCATTCTTTTCAGGGCTATCACAAAGTGCTTATGCAAAGTCCTATTGTAAAGAAATAAGTAGCCCAAGTGAGAAAACTCAGAGCCAAGGTTGTTGAGTGTTCTCAAAGGGGGGAGTTGTTGGGGACACTGAGGCATGGCCACTAGGTAACTCGAGGGGATGGAAGACCACGAGTGTCGATGAAGCCCCCTCGCACTAGGCCCAGGTGTCCTTGGGCCCCCCCTCCCGCCTGGAGGCACTCGCAGCAGCTCTGCGTACTAGGCCCAAGTGTCCTTGGCCCCCCAGCCTGGAGGCACACACAGCAGTTATGCTGAGGATCTGCAACAATATGCTGCAGAGTCAGACTGCCTGAAACTAAGCAAGGCCAAACAGGGCAGATATGGAAGAACAATGCTGAATAAAGCAGCTTTATGTATAGTTTAACAAATGATACAGAGAACCAGGGAACTAGCTGGGAACTGGACTGGCTGGCTATATGGATACTTGGGGCAGCTTGCTATTGGATAAGTATGCTGGGGAAAAGGATGTATAAAAGCCTGTGTAACTTCCTGCTCTGTGTACAGGATTTGAGAGTCAAATCTCCCTGTACCTATTTGAAGCTTCAAATAAACTTTTCTGCTTCTCCACCCCGTTGTGATAATTTGGTGTAGCGCACCGGGTAACGAACCAACTCAAGCTGTTGTTCAGCCTCTCGGCACTGGGTGCCGGTAACACCAGCCTGAGGATTGGCAACACCTGCTAACTTGACAAGCCAAGGGCTATAGAGGCTGGGAGGGAACCAGAAGGCAGGGGGCAGCAAGGGAGAAGTCAGTCAGGGAGGGAGCTGGAGGCCTCTTAGCTAAAGGCTGACTGCCTGTAAAGCTTGTATGTAGATGGACACTGGTGGTGGGACAACCTTAAGTAAATAAAGACACGGGTGTTGCGCCTCTCTGAGCCTTATTGTGGAGAGCAAGCGGGTCCCAGCAAGAGGGGCGGGTTGTGAACCCTGTTACACAGTGATTTTCAACCGGGGGTCCGCAAACCAGGGCAGAAAGCTCGGAGCCCTGGTACCCTGTGGCTGAAGCCTGAATGCGCCCCCTGCCACTTGAAGCCTAGAACCTCAAGGTCCCTCTGCAGATGAAGTCCTGAGGCTCCCCTGCCCCAGAACTTTTATAGCATGTGCAGGGATGGGGGGGCTCAGAAAGACAAAAGTTGAGAACCTATGACCTATTGTTAGGCCACCTGAATATCTTCCCGAAATATAAAAAAAAAAAAAACATAAAACACATACAAACCCCAAACTAATTGGCTGTATTATGGGCTTTAAATACACAGTCCTCTTGCAAACACATAGAGGATTTGCTGTTAAAGTGCTGCAGCCTTGTGGAAATCTCTGAAAAAATGTTTCAGTTGAAACCATTCTCCTGCTGACATATATATATTCCAGTGTACTGTTTATAGGGATATTTACACGAAGCTTAGATTTTTGCTTCTTTAAGGATCCTTTTATATTCCTGCTGCTCATCCCCACTATAGTCATAAATCTCTATGACATCACCATTGCTTCTACATTGGTTAACTAACAATATTGTAATAAAAGGGCTGCAGATGGGAAATAAATACTGTCTTGGCTGACACAATTTCCTCTTTATACTTACATTGTAATATCTTTGGGATGGGGCCTCATTGTTATTTGTACAATGCCAAGCACAGAGGGGGCCTAATCCATGACCAAGGCCCCTGCTTGCTACTGCAATATAAATAATAATCCTCCTTTAGACTTCTAGTCAATTCTCCCCCTTTGAAACTCCTAATACATTCCACTCTGAAACATCTACCTGAAGTCAACACAATAAGACTATTTAATTTGATCAAAAAGACTCCTCTTCTATTTCCTGCTTCCAATGTTTGAGATTAGGAAGTTGTACTGTTTCTATTTTATATTTTTCTAACCTCCTGAAATCCATGAACTTGCATTAACGTAGAACTGAGGAGAAATTAGAATGTGGTTCTACTTATTTTAGAGATGATGGAAGAAGACTGGAAGAGGAAGCAGTTCTACATTTGTAACGGTATTTAAATAGCCCTACTGAAAGTGTGATAAAGGTTGTGGGTCTGAACCACACTGCAAATGCCTGGTTTTCATACAAATGACCCCAGTCAAGAAAGCGATGGGGATGAAATTCCTAAAACTCAGAATGTGTGTTTTCTGTAGACAAAGATTTTGTTGTGGTTTTCTGGACAGTTTGAGCGGCTCTTTCAGTGTTTGCAGATGCCAGTGCTAACAGTTCTAATTTTGTAGCTATTTTACCCACACAATCACACATCCTGATTGCAATGCCATTTTGCATGTCCTAAAAAGCGTGTCAGGCCAGAAAAGTGTCATCACATCTTGAGTATGTCACATGATGAGCACAACATTACATTAGGAAGTGATTTTGTTTTTCCATGGTATCACTATGTTGCATCATGACTGTGATATCTGTCATGGAAGCACTAGGAGCATTATCCAAGACCACAGTGGGCTTTGGATCAGGCCCTAGGAAAAAGGCAAATGCTCTATATCTTTTCTGTAAAGGAGAAGGTAAATAGAGTGAATGAAGCCATTAGTCTGTAAAGATCACATAGCCCAGAAGATTTTGTACATATATGTCAAGGATAGGGAACATCCTAACCTCAGAAGAAACTTCATGCTTCAGTCTTGCCAGCTTCCAACATGGTGGCTGGAAATGACATCATGCCAGTAGTGTGAAGCCTTTTCCTTCCTTTACCTGTTACCCTAAAGTAAGCAAGAATGACATCAGGCCAGTAGTTTGAAGTCCCCTATCCCCTCCTGCCCCCCCCCCCCTTAAATCATTAGTTGGAAAATAAAAGCAGACTGAATGTCTGAATTTTACCAAATTAGAAAGCATAAAACCCTACTGTACTAGGGTAGATTACAAATTAAACTGAGCACTAATTTAAAGTATAACTACTTGTCCTTTTCAGCTGTAGCTCTCAGAGTGCTTTACAAAGGGGAATTGCTATCATTAGGCCCATTTTACAGAGATGGAAACTGAGCTACAGAAATGGCCAATTTTTCCTAAAGAAGGGTGCCTATGCGATTCTGACTTCAGAACCCAGGGGATTAATTTCTAGAGGTGAAAAGAAAAGGAGTACTTGTGGCACCTTAGAGACTAACCAATTTATTTGAGCATGAGCTTTCGTGAGCTACAGCTCACTTCATCGGATGCAACAGGGAGCTGTAGCTCACGAAAGCTCATGCTCAAATAAATTGGTTAGTCTCTAAGGTGCCACAAGTACTCCTTTTCTTTTTGCAAAGACAGACTAACACAGCTGTTACTCTGAAACCTTTCTAGAGGTGCTAAGCCTCTGCAGCTTCCACTGACTTCATCCAGGTCCCCCAAAATCAGTGGCTATCTGGAGGCCTAAGAGACTTTTCTAAGGCAGCAAACATGTCTGACTCCTGAGTTCCAGAGACAAGGTAGCTGAGGTAATATCCTCTATTGAACCAACTCCTGCTGGTGAGAGAGATGGAAGGCTTAGTGGATGGGGCTGCAAGGTGACCAGAGCCACCCAGAAGGGGGGAGCAAGTGGGGCAATTTGCCCCAGGCCCCGCAGGAGCCCCCACGAGAATGTCTGAGGTCGGAGACAGGGAAGGTGAACTGAATGTGACTGCCTTGAGGGCCTGGGGTGGGACAGGAGCTCTGTGGCCCACGGTTGTGAGGTAGTAGTTGGCCTTAGTGGTCCAATTTGTAGGGGTGGTCAGGAGGTTGGTGGCCCAGTTTATGGGGAAGGGAGCGGGCTTAGTGGCCATGGGTTGGGACCTTGGTGGCTTAGTTTGTAGTGTGTATGTGGCAGGGGAAGGGGCTCGGGTCCTAGTTTATGGGGCAGGAAGAGGGCTGAGCAGCTGAGACAGAAGGGCAAGCTTGATAGGTTAGCTGTAAGGTGTGTGTGTGGAGGGGGGGGAGGGGGGCTTGGTAGCCTAGTTTATAGAGCCGAAAGGGGGCTTCCTGGCCCGGGCCCAGCTACTGCCGGCGAAGGACGCGGTCCTGCTGCCACACACAAAATGGCAGCCAGGGCCAGCCGGCGGTGGGTAACGTCCCCCTCCGCTATCCCACAATGCACTGCTCCTTCACTTCCCTCTCCGAGTGCCGCCCCTCCCCGTCGGCGTCCCACAATGCACTGCCCCTCTCCAGCCCTCGCGCTTCGCCAATCCCACAATGCGCTGCTCCTCCGCTCTCCCACAAGACCCCCCGCCCCCTCGTCCGCCCCACAATGCCCCGCTGCCGGCCCCCTTCTTCCCCTGTGAGCGGCAGTGTCTGTCCCCGTAGGAGGAAGATGGCGGACACAATGAGCAGGAGCCGCCTCTCCACAGCCTGAGCCGACCCCGCCTGAGGGCGCTGCCCGCCCGTGCCGAAGCCGCCTGCTAGCGCCGCGCGGCCCTTACCCGAGACCCGCGCGCTTCAGGCCCCCGCCCGGTTTCCCTTCTCCGTTGCTTCGCAGGCCCCGCGGGCACTAGGCCGCCGCCCGGCTTCTCACGTTCACCGGCGTCCTCCGTGCCCGGCTCCCGCTGGGCCCAGGCCCGGCTCCTCAGGCCCCGCTCGCGCCGCCCCATCCCTCGCGGCATGAAGCTAACGGACAACGTGCTGCGGAGCTTCCGCGTGGCCAAGGTCTTCCGCGAGAACTCGGACAAGATAAACTGCTTCGACTTCAGCCCCAACGGCGAGACCGTCATCTCCAGCAGCGACGACGACTCCATCGTGCTCTACGACTGCCAGGAGGGCAAGTGAGTGGCGGGCCGCCCGGGGGGGCGGGAGATCTGCCCGCGGGTGGGGGGTGAGCGGAGTGGGGAGGGTGGCCCGTGTGTGGTGATGGGCGTGCGAAGGTGCAACTGCAGCACCCCCCCATGCCCGTGGCTGGTACTTAGCCTCGTGGTGGTGCTGCCCTGGGGGCCTGGGCGGGTGGAGCAGGAGGGATCGATCCCCCGGGATTATCGGCTCTCCCAGGTGAGGAGCCTGTCAGGGAGAAAACGCGGGTTCAGGAAGGGCGGAGAATAGCACGGGCTTAGTGTATATCTGCTAGCCAGGGCGCTAAAGCTGCCAGCTAAAGGCTGATGTGAAAGACCCGGGGGTGGGGAAGACAGCCACCTAGGTGTGGGGAGAACCTCCCCAGTGTTGCTGATGCTCAGGTTTTCCCCAGGTAGAAGCTGCTGAGTGAAACTGACATTTTTGTTACTTTGCTGTCCACAAGGTTCTTCATAGCAAAAGTAAAGTTGATCAGAGATTCTTATGTGTTTGGTTGTGCTGCTGCTTGGCAGAGCTCTGAGGAGTAGCTGAAAATATTGTAATTGTGTGTCTGCAGACTAGGGAACCTAGTATAGGTGCCTTTTTTTTTAAATGAAATGAGTGTATAAAACTAAAACACCAGAAAAAATATGACTTGAAAATGGAGCTGGAACAGATTATTTTTATTGCATTCTGTCATGGCACTGTGATTAAAGCATCTGAGTCCCATCTACACTACAGCCTTCACTGTTACTACTTGTGGTGGAGCTGAAACTGTGGTGATTCACACCTAAATGTAGCATTGTAGATATAGACTGGAAGACTTTTGCTTCATATTTGGAAGGTTACAAATGTGATTTTCACACTTATGGAGACTAGAATCTTGTTTTACAGGAGCTAAAATTTGTTATTAATTGATGGCCCAGGACTTTTCACTGATCACAGAAATCTTTGCTTTCACTGGTGGGTAAATGAATGGATTTTTCAAGCTCTCTCACTTTAGATTTGGTTAATAAAATTGATGGATAACTCATCTGTAAGTATAGCTATGTATATGGGTCCAAATTTGAAGTCAGTGGAGTTGCCATGATTTTTCCTTTGAGGAATATGCCTATTGTTAGCTACTCATTGCCGCAGACTCATTTCTTGATGAGTATTTCCATTGAAAATCTAAGCCAGAGAGCAAAAATTTGATTTAGGCATGTTAAATACCCTGTTTGGGTTTAAATGAACAGGATGAAATGGGAAACTGTTTTGATGTGCATCTAGAACAGTTTGCCATTTTAAAAGGTAACCTTTTCAATATATTTTAATTCCATAGTGGAAGATGGCATACTGTACATGATCAAAAAGAAAAGGAGTACTTGTGGCACCTTAGAGACTAACCAATTTATTTGAGCATGAGCTTTCGTGAGCTACAGCTCACTTCATCAGATGTTATACCGTGGAAACTGCAGCAGACTTTATATACACACAGAGAATATGAAACAATACCTCCTCCCACCCCACTGTCCTGCTGGTAACTTTAAAAAACTGTAAAAACAATGAGGAGTCCGGTGGCACTTTAAAGACAAACAGATTTATTTGGGCATAAGCTTTTGTGGGTAAAAAACTCAATTCTTCAGATGCAGTTAAAAAACTGTGGCATTCCACTAGAATACATAGCCACTATTATGTAGGAAGAAGGGATTCTACTGTGCTTTGTGTGAACCCCTTTTGAGTAGTTGACATCTTTACCTACAAACTAGAATTAAAACATCTATGATTCTGCTATAGAGCAAGATGGGGACAAAAGGGAGGAGGTATTGCCTTGTATATTAAAAATGTATACACTTGGACTGAGGTTGAGCTAGAAATAAGAGACAGACTTGTTGTAGGTCTCTGGGTAAGGATAAAAGAGGTAAAAAACAAGGGTGATGTCATGGTAGGGATCTACCACCAAACCAGGAAGAAGAGGTGGATGAGGCTTTTTTTAAACAACTAACAAAATCATCCAAAGCACTGGACTTGGGGGGAGGACTTCAACTACCCAGACATCTGTTGGGAAAATAACACAGCAGGGCACAGATTATCCAACAAATTCTTGGAATGTATTGGAGACCATTTTTTATCTCAGAAGGTGGAGAAAGCTACTGGGGGGAGGCTGTTCTAGATTTGATTTTGACAAATAGGGAGGAACTGGTTGAGAATTAGAAAGGGGAAGGAAGGCAACTTGGGCAAAAGTGATCATGAAATGGTAGAATTCATGATCCTAAGGAATGGTAGGAGGGAGAACAGCACAATAAAGACCATGGATTTCAAGAAGGCAGACTTCAGCAAACTCAGGGAGCTGGTAAGTAAAATCCCATGGGAAGCAAGTCTAAGGGGAAAAACAAATGGAGACATTTGGCAGTTTTTCCGAGACATTATTAAGGGGACAAGAGCAAACTATCCCACTGCATAGGAAAGATAGGAAGTATGGCAAGAGACCACTATGGCTTAACCAGGAGATCTTCAATGATCAAAAACTAAAAAAAAAAAGTCTTACAAAAAGTGGAAACTCAGTCAAATTACAAAGGATGAATATAAACAAATAACACAAGTATGTAGGGACAAAATTAGAAAAGCCAAGGCACAAAACAAGATCAAACTAGCTGGGACATAAAAGGAAACAAGAAAACATTCTACAAATACATTAGAAACAAGAGGAATCATAGAATATCAGGGTTGGAAGGGACCTCAGGAGGTCATCTAGTCCAACCCCCTGCTCAAAAGCAGGACCCATACCCAATTAAATCATCCCAGCCAGGGCTTTGTCAAGCCTGACCTTAAAAACTCCTAAGGAAGGAGATTCCTTCTTCCTTCCTTCCTCCTTAGGCAACGCATTCCAGTGTTTCACCACCCTCCTAGTGAAAAAGTTTTTCCTAATATCCAACCTGAACCTCCGCCACTGCAACTTGAGACCATTACTCCTTGTCCTGTCCTCTTCCACCACTGAGA